TTGTCAAAATTTCCGTTAGAATTACGTTGGTTAGTATTTTGATTTCTACCTACTGCAATAGCAGCATAGGTAGCTCCATTAACTCGCTGAACATTGTTAGCAGCGAGGGGAGTAGGTATACATGAAAAATTTGAAGCAGGGTGATATTTGTACCTGCGGGTACGAATGTAAAACTTGTTCCTCGCTGACCGTTGTTAACAGCAGAGTAATTTGTACCCATTCGGAAACGTGGAGCGTTTCCTACCTGTCGCTTAGAACGAGATTGTAGGATCGCTTTGCGAGTCTTACAATCCCAAAAATTGGATTTGTGGTTTTCACCACAATTTGAACATTGAATCTTCTTAGGATCTTCCTTCACAGGACAGTCGTCCTTTGCGTGAGAGGAATCACCACAATTCATGCATTTAGCTGGCATGTAGCAATTTTTTGTTCCGGGACCCCATCCCTGGCACTTACGGCACTGGGTGGGGTTTTGGAAATTTCCTCCAGTCTTCCTGAAGTGTTCCCACTTCACTCGGACATGGAGCATAAGGCTAGCTTTGTCTAAGGTTGTTTAGTTCACTAGACTTGAAGTGAACTAAATTTAATCATTAGAAATCCCCTTGCGCGAATCGCCAGGACGGGATTTCATTTTCATTTTGATTACTTGGAGTGGCACAACTCCAAGTAATTTCGCCAGTTCATCTTTGATCTGATCCAGGTATTCACCACTAGGCAGTCCTTTCATGACAACCTTGAACACACGTTCAGTTTTGGTGTCGTAAGTAAAAAATTTGTGCTGCTTCTTAGTAAGATACTTGAGAAGACATTTAAATCCGTCCAAGGTTTCAGCCAATACACGGCATTCACCCCAACGTCCAATTTGTAGTGAAAACTTAACTTTCACGAAGTTCAAAAGTTCCATGCGAAGAGCATGGAAATCAGAAGTGGTTATCACAATAGGGGGATTATTTTCCTTCTTGGCATTTAGCCGGGAAAGTTTACTAGAATTTTTTCTTGAATGATGGATCATTTTCATCATCCGTGAGCAAATCAAATTGATTACTCAAATTAATTTCATCAGATGGGGGATCAAGAGTTTGCCGCTTTCTTTTGCGCTTAGGCTGTAAATTTTTATCCAAATCGACTATAATAATCTGAAGGATCGAAGAGGAATTTTCCAAATTCAGCAAAAAGCAAATAGATCCGCACGGCAAGAGAGCACGATGTGGACTGACCCAGTTCAACAGCAATATTTGCTTCAGGTGACTGATCAGCATCGAAAAGAGTACCCTCTTAATATCTTAGAGTATATATTCAAGTGAAATATAACCGTTACAATCATATTACATTTGTGTGAAAACGTCTGACATTGAACGCATTGAAACGCCATCCAAACGCCTCTGAATTCGCTGATGATACAAATTGATTCGGTCAGAGTGCTTCTTTTGTGAATAATTGGTGCAAACATTCATATCACGCGTTCTCATTGACTTCGTTCGGTAGCTTTTGAACTAAAGTATCGTACCAAACGCATAATTGACTTGTTAACTCTGAAATCATGGATTTATTTGATGTTTTCTGCTCGATAGACCCAATATGGGCGATTAGGCCGAAGTAGTTCTCGACCCTATTTCAGTTTGGAATTTGACTTTCATTTGGTGATTTTTGGCATTTAATGCAAGCCATTAATATTTGAACAGTTATAATTTTTCTAGAGACATTTTATCACATTACTTCCTTCAGTAAAGTTCTAAGGCACTTTCTGGACTGGGAGTTGCATGGTTCAAGCAAAATTGTGGTATCTAGGAATGAAAATGCAAAAAAGTACGTTTTCCCATACTGATTTCCATTCAAATTTCAAACGCAATGCGGAAAGCCGGATTACAACCAATCGTCCCCAAATGTTGTTGAGGACACTAAATGGAACCAAAAAACGGTTGTTCTCGCTTGATGAGGACACGTTTGCGTTTTTCTATATGACATGACAGTGACAGTGCGTAAAAGCTGTACCACGTTCTCCCTTACATCTGGTGTTCCTCAAGGCAGTCACCTGGGGCCATTCCTTTTCCTGTTATATATGTATGATGTAAACCTGATCCTCAAATGCCTTAAACTATCGTACGCCGACGACTTGAAGCTCAACTACGTAATAAAAAGGCATCAAGGCGCCCACTTTCTACAACAGGAATTAGAAGTTTTGTGCCTGACTGTTAATCAGCATTAAGGTTCAATTTACTTTGATGCATTTTTAAAAAATTAAAAAGCAGTTTTTTTCGACGCATTGTTTTAGATTGCAAAAAGCTCGCGTCATTTTGTTTAAAATATCAAAAGGAATCGAATAGTGCGAGCTTTTTGCAATCTGAAATAATGCGTCGGAAAAAACTGCTTTTGAAATTTTCCAAAAAGCATCAAAGTAAATTGAACCTTAAATGTGTCCAAGTGCTCGGCCATCTCCTTCGGTCAAAAACATGCGATGTAGTTGCACGATTACGCCTTAAAAGGGACGAGCTTAAAACGTGAATCAACTATTAAGGATTTGAGCGTCATGCTCGACTCCAAGCTGACGTTCAAGGACCACACCGCTTATGCCGTATTTAAGGTTTCATCGCACCTAGGATTTTTGTTCCGTTTCGCAAAAAGCTTCAAGGACGTGCATTGCCTGAAGGCGTTATATTGTTCTCTTATTCGTCCTATACTGGAATATTCAGCCGTTGTCTGGTCTCCATTCTATCACAACGCTATCCAGAGGATTAAAGCGTTTCAGCGAAAATTTGTTCGATTTGCTTTGCGACATTTTCCTTGGCTTGATCCACGTAGCTTACCGAGCTATGGAGCTACTGGAAGGAAGGCGAAACGTAGCTAAGGCGTGTTTCATCGGCGATCTTCTGTAGGGGAACGTCGAATGCTCAACACTTCTAGTCTCCTTGACATTAGCATTCGTCAACGCAACCTTCGTATGCATGCTTTCTTCAACAATCGGCGTTCAAAGACCAACTATGATGTACACGAACCAGTGCTGAGCATGTTCCGCGTTTTCAATAAATGTTACTATGTGTTTGACTTCAATGTGTCCCGTGAGAAAAATAAGTATTGCTTTAAAAGATGTTCATGTTAAAATTGTATGTTTTGATATAGTTATCTGTCATTGAGGTAAATATTTTATCCGTTTTTTTCCTTGATTTGATTTCCGTCGATCTTGTTTTCCGTGCTGAGCACCAATGCTACCGACGCCAGAGAGGCAGCTCCCACACCTGGACCCTACCTATCGATCTATCACAACTCATGACCAACGGCTTTACTTCCCTTCCGAAGGAAGGCGTGATCAGAGATGTTATGCCTCAGAACATTCCGGCGGCTCCGATTGGGATTGAACCCAGGCCTGCTGGGGTGAGATATAATCACGCTTACCACTACACCATCGCCGCTGCTATATGTTATCCGTTGACAAGCAATAATAAATAAATAAATAAATAAATAACTAAATAAATAAATAAATAAACGGTGTACGTCACATTGCTGTCAAACGGTATAAAAGGTATTGAAGATAGTGATTTTTATCACTTTAATTAACTAAAATTAACAACACATGCTTTATCCTGCCTTTGCGCTCTTACATGAGCTTCCGCCTACTATCAACTTGTGTCTTTTGAAGCACTTTCACGGTTAATAATTGAAAGCTTTTTATGCCAACCAGTGGATGAATTTGTATATCGTGTGGCAAGCCCAATTATATTCTGCCCAGGGTAATTTATAACATTTCCAACCCGGAAGATGTCCTAGATCGAATCAGCAATCGATAACCAACCACTTCCAGCTTGGTAATGCCTTAGCTTGAATAGGATTCTTCTTCTTACTCGTATTTCAAGGTTATTGCTTATCGCATATTAGCTTATTGCGTGCTCTAAACTTAGTGTTCAAGATTCACTTCCACTTTTATTAAATAGAGAGCTTTCGATGCCGATCTGTGTGGCAAGTACAATCATACTCTATGCCCAGGGAAGTCGAGAAATTTTCCAACCCGAAAAAATCCTAGACCGGACCGGGAATCGAACCCAGCCACCTCCAACATGGTCTTGCTTCGTAGCTGCGCCTTTACCGACTGAGCTAAAGGAGGCCCCTGAAGAGACTATCCTTGGTAATACTTCCTTTACTGTCAATATACATACACTAGAGATTACATTGGTAAAACTTCAGTGCTCTAACAATCCAATCCTCCTCTTTACCTTTTTGTCTTAAGTGTCAATCCAATATTAAATTATTTTTGAACAAATATGATGCGCGGAAAAAATGAAAATGAAACGGAATGAATGAACAACACCAATTGTTGCGACACCCCTCGTGTAGCAACGCACCTTCTCACCAGCTAAAGAAACTCCAACCTTTACTTGCCTTGGCTCGGCTGACAGTTGTTGAATGCCGATAGGGACGGTACGGGAAAATAATTGTCATTTAAGAACAAGTGAAACCATGTGACACGATGTCGCGATTACCTAAAATTATTCTTTGGATTTAGTTTAAAATTAATGAAATTGTTATCTATATTATCTGTGCTTAAATCTAAGTTGCTATTTGTAGTTGCGTGAGTTAAAGCAACAATAATTTGCGAAGCGTTGAAGTAAAACTGAACTCATTTTCCATTCTAGAAAGTTGTAGGTTAAGTTGATTGGGTAAACGATCGAGCCTCTAAATTGAAACCTAATTTCGTTGTTTCTAATACGGTAAATTGTGAGTCATGAACATAATTATATACAGCTAACTCGAACTATCACCCCGTTCAGGACTCGGTTCAGGAGTTGGCCAGTTTCTTATAAAACAGTTTCGTTACCGGGTTACAACGACGGAGAATTACAAAACGTAAGATATTATACTACTAGAAGCTAAGAACTGTAATTTCAACGGCATAAATCATTCCAGGAAATTTTAACGTATCCTCAATAAATCGTTAAACGTTCGGAGTCTACTTTCTCTTCGTTGGAAAACCAACAATTTAAAATTTCGTTTTCCCGGACTGCGAAACGATGCCACTTGATCGAACCCCACAAGAGCCGGGATACAGCGAATTCGGCTGCCCGAGCTGCCCTATCTGCAAGTTGAACGATGATAGCCGGATGGTCCAATGCGATGACTGCAGCATTTGGTATCACTTTGGCTGTGTAAGTGTGACGCAAGATGTCGAGGACCACGACTGGAGCTGCCAACAATGCCAAGCAGCTAAAAAAGCAGCCAAATCCAGAGAAAAATCCCCGATTCAGAATAATCCACCCACGCAGCCCATCGAAGGTGCCACCGGTCAAATAAATTTGCAGCAGAAGGTATCGTCAAACGGCCAAGGAGATTTCGTTCCGAAGAATTTGCCCAGATCGACTAGTGGAAACATAGAACAGCTAGAGCAAAACACTACGAATGGTGGAGGAAATTTAACCGTAGCGCAAGCGGAGATACGATTGAAGATGCTTGAGGAGGAGAAAGCCCTCGAGCGCAAATATCTGGAAAGAAAGTACCAGATCATGATGGAAGCCGCCGGTGGTTCTTCCTCCCCGTTACAGGCTAGTATCACGAACGCTGGTTCCCCTGGTGCCCCACCGTTTCATTCGTCTCCGGTTACCACAAATTTACGACCGGAAGCACCTATATTTCACTCCCGCCACGAAAATTGCACTGATGCATACGATAATTCGATGATGTTGAACAGGAGCCAAATTGCTGCCCGTCAAGCCGTCCCAAGGGATCTGCCAACTTTTAGTGGTGACCCTGAAGAATGGCCTCTTTTCGTGGCCACGTTTGAGAGCACAACACGGATGTGCGGCTATAGTCAGGAAGAAAATACGATTCGACTACAAAGATGCCTCCAGGGGAAAGCAAAAGAGGCTGTTCGAAGTCAGCTGTTGCACGCAACCAATGTGGACAACGTCATCTCTACACTAAGGATGCTTTTCGGTCGCCCGGAGATAATCGTGCATTCAATAATCCGCAAGATCCATGCGTTGCCAGCACCGAGGGTCGACAGGATGGGTTCACTGGTAGACTTCGCAGTGGCCGTTCGGAATATGGTCGCTACTGTCCAAGCGTGCAATCTGGAAGGGTACCTGTACAACATATCTCTGCTACAGGAGCTTGTGGATCGTTTGCCCCCAATGATCAAATTGAATTGGGCCATGCATCGTCAGGCAATGAACCAAGTTTCGCTTGGTGACTTCAGTGCCTGGCTCAACAGTCTGGCAGAGGCGGCTAGCCTCGTAACGATTCCCCCACCGATCGCAACTGCTGAATCAAAGCCAAGGCGTGGTCGAAAGGATGACAGTTTTCTGAACGCACACCACGAAACGTCATCGTATCCGGAGCGAAAGCCGATTGGCGACGATAAACGTGAAGGATGTTTCGCCTGCGATGGGAAGTGTGCTTCGGCCGAGCACTGCAAGAAGTTCCTGAGTTATGATCACTCTACGCGATGGACGACTGTCAGAGAACGCAAACTATGCCGGCGTTGCCTCAAGAAACATCGAGGGTTCTGCAGGTCAACGAATGAATGCGGAATCAACGGGTGTACAAGCAAGCACAATCAGCTGCTACACAATAATTCGCCGCAAAAACCGCAAACGTCACAACAGCGAGATTCTGAGCCAATGCCTGCTACACCAAAGCCAGGTACGTCATCGGCTGTAACAACTACGCAAACCATCTGCAATACCCATCGTAGCGACGTCAAGGCAGTCCTGTTCCGATACGTACCCGTTGTACTGTACGGACGTGGGACTAAAATCGAAACCTATGCCTTCTTAGACGACGGTTCGTCGTTGACGTTGCTTGAGGAAGATTTGGCGACCGAATTGCAGCTCGACGGCGTCGATCACCCACTATGCTTACAATGGACAGCAGATATGTGCCGCTACGAGGATTCGTCGCAAAAGGTGTCCTTGCTAATTTCCGGTTCTCGCAATCAAGGGACACGTTATCAACTTCCGGAGGTACACACCGTCAAGCAACTCAAGCTTCCTCCTCAAACTTTGGCGTTCGACAAGTTAGCTGGCACATACACATATCTCAAGGGCTTACCGGTCGATTCCTACACCAACGTGCGCCCAAGGATCCTGATTGGAATTAACAACTGGCGTGTAGGTCACGTTCTTGACAGCCGTGAAGGAAAAGAGTTCGAGCCTGTCGCATCGAAAACTCGCTTAGGGTGGATGGTATATGGCGTACATGCTGGCGATCAACACCAAGAAGGCTATACCACCCACCACAGTTACCACATCTGCCCGAACTCCGGTCAGGCTGATGACGATCTACATAGAGCTGTGAAAAGTTTCTTCGCTCTTGATAGCATTGGAATTACAAAGCCGGACAAACTGATCGTTTCCAGTGAGGATGAGCGCGCCTGGTCCATGATGCGTTCCATTACCACTCCACGGAATGGGCGCTACCAAACAGGGCTTCTCTGGAAATATGACGACGTAAGGCTACCCGACAACAAGACGATGGCGATTAAAAGATGGCAGTGTTTAGAACGCAGGATGGCCAGAGAACCCCAGCTTGGCGCAGCACTTAGAGCAAAAATGGAGGATTATTTGCGCAAAGGATACGCACGAAAGTTGACACCCGAAGAACTGACGCAATCGTACGATCGGATTTGGTATCTGCCAATATTTCCGGTGTTCAACCCCAATAAGCCTGGCAAACTGAGAATCGTTTGGGACGCTGCCGCTACTGTAAACGGCATCTCCCTAAACTCCGTATTAATGAAGGGTCCAGACCAGCTCACGGAGCTCCCAGCGGTACTCTACAAGTTCCGACAGTACCTGGTGGCCATGGGAGGAGACGTACGTGAGATGTTCCACCAGGTGCTGATGAATGAGGCAGACCAACAATGTCATCGATTCCTGTGGAGCAGCGGTAAGGATCAAAACAACCCCGACGTATACGTCTTGATGGTTATGTCCTTCGGGGCGACGTGCTCACCCAGCCTAGCCCAATTCGTTAAAAACGAAAACGCGGAGCGCTTCCGGCGTCAGTTTCCGACTGCGGTGGATGCAATCGTAAAATCGCATTACGTTGACGACATGTACACGAGCGTCCAGAACGTGGAGGAAGCAATCGAGCTAGCGAAGGAAGTTAGAGAGATCCACTCTCGCGCTGGGTTTGAAATGACTAACTGGGTTTCTAATTCGCGTGACGTTCTCACGGCTCTTGGTGCAGTAGAAGTTGCTGAAAAGAACTTAGACACGGCGGTAGACGTCGCCAACGAGAAGGTTCTTGGCATGTGGTGGTCGACGAACTCGGATGTCTTCTCATACAAGCTGTTCCTGGAACGTAACATGGACATTCTCTCTGGAACGAGACGCCCAACTAAGCGGGAGCTACTGCGAACGATGATGAGCGTCTACGACCCACTTGGGCTCATTGCAAACTATTTGATGTTTTTGAAGATGCTCTTGCAAGAAGTTTGGCGGTCTGGAGTAAGCTGGGACGAGTGCATTGCGGAACGTGAATGGGAGAAGTGGAAGATCTGGTTGCAGTTTCTACCGAAGCTTGAAAATTTACGGATTCCTCGCTGCTACCGCCAGAAGACGTCGGTACATTCCTCCGTTCAACTCCACATATTCGTGGACGCAAGCGAGAACGGTTACGCTGCTGTGTGTTATTTCCGGTTTGAAGAGGATGATCAAATCGAATGCTCATTGATCGGAGCCAAAAGTCGTGTCGCACCGCTCAAGTTTGTATCCATACCCCGCTTAGAACTGCAGGCAGGGGTCATCGGCGCCCGATTGGCAAAAGCCGTAGAACAAGGCCACTCGTACAACATCACCAAGCGATTCTTCTGGACAGACGCTCGTGACGTCTTATGCTGGCTGAATTCCGACCATCGACGATATAGCCAGTTCGTCGCTTTCCGTGTAAGTGAGCTGTTGGAGACCACGGATGTTGCTGAATGGCGATGGGTGCCTACGAAATTGAACGTTGCCGACGAAGCCACGAAGTGGAAGCGTGCACCAAGCCTTGATTATGATAGTCGGTGGTTCAACGGCCCTGAATTTTTGCTGCAACCGGAAGAAAACTGGCCGAAGCTCCCAGCTTTAGAATCCACCAAAGAGGAGCTCCGTCAAAACCGTCAAAACTTGCTACACCACCGTGACGTTGATGATTGGGTTCTTACTCCAACAGACTTTTCATGTTGGAAACGTTTGCTTCATGCTGTGGCGTTCGTAATGCGGTTTCCCAGGAATCTCCGGAAAAAGATAGCTGCCGAACAACCTGATACTGGTCCATTGAGTGCTGATGAATTGAACGACGCTGCCAGTTATATCTATCGCCGAGCTCAAGAGGACATCTACAGTGAGGAACGGAAGCTGCTTGCGAAACCTGGACCGGCTCTTGGTACGCGGATTCTACCTAAAGGTAACTCTCTGTATAAAGTGGAACCATATCTCGATAGTGCTGGGGTGATGCGTATGCGTGGTCGCATTAGCGCTTGCGATTTAATTGATGAGTCTACGAAGCATCCTGTCATCCTTCCTCGAGAGCACTACATCACATCACTGGTCGTTCAAAAAGTTCATGAGGAATTCCATCACCAATGCCACCAGACCGTGCTGAACGAAATACGGCGAAGATATTACATTCCTCGTTTGCGGGTAGTTCTCAACAAAACTCGTCGAAATTGCCAGAAATGTAAAATCATGACTGCTAAACCACAGCCTCCTTCAATGGCCGATTTACCGAAAACTCGACTCGCGGCATTTGTTAGGCCTTTCTCTTACGTGGGCATTGACTATTTCGGCCCGATGCAGGTAGTAATCGGTCGCCGTGTTGAGAAGCGCTGGGGCGTGCTAGCTACGTGTCTGACCACTCGAGCTGTGCATATCGAGCTGGCTCATTCGTTGACGACAGACTCCTGTATAATGTGCCTGCAAAACATCATAGCGCGACGGGGATCTCCAATCGAGATTGTTAGTGATCGAGGAACCAACCTGGTCGGTGCGAGTAAAGAGCTGAAGGAAGCTTTAGCACAGGTAGATCAAGAGCGGCTGATGAAAGAGTTTACGACCGAGAACCTCAAATGGTCGTTTAACCCACCTGCTTCTCCTCATATGGGAGGAAGCTGGGAGAGACTGATACAATCAGTAAAGAAGATTTTGACCAGCATACTTCCAACTCAACGGCTGCCAACAGACGAAGTACTCAGGAACTCTCTTGTGATGATTGAGAACATCATCAACTCGCGCCCTCTGACCTATGTACCAGTTGACAGCGAGGCTGCCCCGGCTCTTACCCCGAATAGCTTTCTGCTGGGCTCTACCGATGGTTCGAAACCCCTAGTACTCCACGATGATAGCGGCTTAGCTCTCCGAAGTGCTTGGAAATCATCACAAGTCCTAGCCAATATGTTTTGGAAGAAGTGGTTGGCGGAGTACCTCCCTGAAATTACTAGAAGAACTAAATGGCTTTCGGCCGGTCGACAGATCCAGATAGGAGACATCGTGATTATCGTGGACCCAAGTTTCCCGAGAAATTGCTGGCCCAAAGGCAGGGTAGTCAACACGAAGGTATCCAAGGATGGTCAAGTACGATCGGCGACGGTACGGACGGCTTCAGGTATGTACGAGCGCCCGGCAGTTCGCCTGGCAGTGCTGGACGTCGGTGCAGACAAGAGTGATCGGGACCAGGGTCCAACCACTGGGGGGGACTGTTGCGACACCCCTCGTGTAGCAACGCACCTTCTCACCAGCTAAAGAAACTCCAACCTTTACTTGCCTTGGCTCGGCTGACAGTTGTTGAATGCCGATAGGGACGGTACGGGAAAATAATTGTCATTTAAGAACAAGTGAAACCATGTGACACGATGTCGCGATTACCTAAAATTATTCTTTGGATTTAGTTTAAAATTAATGAAATTGTTATCTATATTATCTGTGCTTAAATCTAAGTTGCTATTTGTAGTTGCGTGAGTTAAAGCAACAATAATTTGCGAAGCGTTGAAGTAAAACTGAACTCATTTTCCATTCTAGAAAGTTGTAGGTTAAGTTGATTGGGTAAACGATCGAGCCTCTAAATTGAAACCTAATTTCGTTGTTTCTAATACGGTAAATTGTGAGTCATGAACATAATTATATACAGCTAACTCGAACTATCACCCCGTTCAGGACTCGGTTCAGGAGTTGGCCAGTTTCTTATAAAACAGTTTCGTTACCGGGTTACAACGACGGAGAATTACAAAACGTAAGATATTATACTACTAGAAGCTAAGAACTGTTATTTCAACGGCATAAATCATTCCAGGAAATTTTAACGTATCCTCAATAAATCGTTAAACGTTCGGAGTCTACTTTCTCTTCGTTGGAAAACCAACACCAATCTTTATCTCGTATTAATAAAATAAAAACTTTTCCAATAGCGCACCATCAAATTGCATCCAGCTTCTATCCAACAATTAAAACTTTGTCATGCTATTGTACACCCCGGATAGTGTAGCTCCCTGCTGTTTATTATTGTGCATCTTTCGGCAATACAATCGACAACAAGTTTCGGCCACTGTAACTTCCTTGAAACAGGAAAATCCAAATACTTTTGCAATTATATTGAGGAAATTTTTTAACTAATTATATGTCCAACTAAATCTGAACCGGTGTTCTGTTTACTGCCAAATAAAATAACAGTAACGTTTTTGGGTTAATTTTTCAATTTATATTCTTTAACATTTACCAATTGATTAAGGATTTACAAAAGCACTAGGCACCTTTTGCATAAAGTGTGAGCACACGGCATCCTCGCCCCAAAAATTGCGACATCTGCCACCATCTTGAGAAGTTATTAATATTTACTATCCATAAAAGCTCTTTGCTATTCACGAAAGCTTGCTTCAACCCGCTTTAGATATTTGGCTTATCACCACAGAAAATCCCACCAACACACCACATTTTGTAAAACATCGACGAAAAATGTAAAAATGTCAAAATCATCCCAGTTTCCTTCAAACCAGAATGACAATGACAGAGGCATGCGCACACGGTACAGTTTTCCGATTTCAGTTCAGTGTCGTCGCTACCCCCTGTTATTGATATCAGTGTGATTCCATCCTCCAAAGGGCCTGTTCATAAACTACGTAGACAGTTTTTTTGGATTCTTGACCCCCCCCCTCCCCCTGCGTAGACAATTGTCCATACAAAATTTGTAAAATTTGTATGGGCCGTGGATAATTGTCACCCCCCCCCCCCTCAACTGTCTACGTAGTTTATGGACAGCCCCACAGGGCTAAAATGAAAACATTGGAAATCCGATACAGTCCTGCCTCCCATCGCAGACCAACCGCCCTTCTCAAGCCTGGCACGCACACATGCAAAGCAGGAAAGAAGGTTGATTGAATATGGCGGGCGAGAGAAAAACTGTTTTTACCTTTGTTTGATAATGTGTCTGTGGAAAGGACTGAGCAGAGAGGGAGATAAAGAGAGCACGTTATGTTGAGTTTTCAGTATTGTTTTGCTTTCGACAATTTGAAAGCTTCTGCAGCAGGGATGAAATGATGT